ATGATTTTCCCAGTGGTATGCAGACAGATCTTAAAAGGCTACGAGTTCTCAATCTCAGTGGTGCTGATATTGAAGAATTACCTTTTAATTTTGACAACATGAAGAGTTTGAGGTTCTTGGACATTTCACAAACTAATATAAAAGAGCTACCCAAGTCCTTCAGCAAGTTGTATAATTTGCAAACATTTAGATTCATGTATTGCACATATCTGAAAATGCCTTCGGAAGGAATTGGCTATTTAATCAACTTGAGGCATATTCACTTCTATGGAGAGGAGCAGATGCCTGCAAACATTGGGAGGCTAACTAGTCTTCAAACTTTGCAAGATTCCTTCTATGTGGGTACAAGAAAGGGCCTTAAAATTGAAGAATTGGGCAGCTTAAGCAAACTCAAGGGAAGTTTGAAGATCAGGTATCTTGAGCGTGTTAACGACAAATTAGAAGCAAAGCAAGCAAAATTACATGAGAAGGCAGTCGACGAGTTGGAATTATGGTGGGAATTGGGCAGGAGTGAAGTAGAATTAGAAGGTAATCATGATGAAGAGGTTTTGGAAGGCCTCCGACCTCATCCAAATCTGCAGAGATTAGTAATTGATTGTTATGGAGGTAAAAACCTGCCATCATGGATGTTGAGCAATGAATTGTTCTTGCCCTACAATTTCAATTTAGTAGAACTAGAAATGAATTGGTGGGCAAAGCTAAATAGCATTCCAGTGATCAACGGGCTTTCATCTCTAAAGCAGCTTTCAATTTTTTCATGTGCTGAATTAACTAGTATTGCTGATAGAGCATTTGAAAAGATGTCTCTTGAAAAAATAACTATAATGTATTGTCGAAATTTGGAGAGTCTTGGAGCCGCATGCTTTCCTCTTGGCTTGAAGGAATTGTGGGTTGGTGGTTTCTCAGAAGAGGTGGAGGAATCCCTAGATTTCAGTTTCATTCACCACATCCACGCCTCCCTTGAAAAGTTGAGTTTGGATGGATGGGAAAAACTAACTCAACTTCCGCATCAAATTCAACATCTGATTGCTCTAAGGGAATTGGAAATTCGAAACTTCAGCAAATTGGATGCTTTACCGGAGTG